GAATGATTCACTGAAATACAGAATAGGTATAAGCAAACTTACCTTGGAGAAATCACCAATCAGATGCCCCTGGTTAGCATCTTCCTCCAGCATCTGAGGGATATTAATGTCGCAGAGAGAGGCTGTCTTCTTTAGACCTAAGCCCTGAAAATGACAAGATTCCTACTCACCCCTAGTTCCCATCTTAAAGGCTTAAAAATGGGGGTAGCTGGGCAGCGCTTGTGGCTCAAAGGAGTAGGGTGCTGGCCCAATATGCCGGAGGTGGCAGGTTCAAACCCAGCCCTAACCAAAAACTGCAAAAAAAAAAAAAAACTGAGGGTGGCTGCCTTGGTGCCCATAGCACAGTGGTTATGGGACCAGCCACATACACTGAGGCTGGCAGGTTTGAACCCACCCCGGGCCAGCTAAACAACAATAACAACTGGCGAAGGCGCCAGCCACATACACCCAAGGTGGTGGGTTCAAATCCAGCCCGGACCTACCAAAAACAACAATGACGACTGCAACCAAAAAATAGCCGGGCATTGTGGTGGGCACCTGTGGTCCCAGCTACTTGGGAAGTTGAGGCAGGAGACTCGCTTGAGCTCAGGAGTTGGAGGTTGCTGTGAGCTGTGATGCCACCGCACTCTACCCAGGGGGATAGCTTGAGGCTCTGTCTCCAAAACAAACAAACAAATAAAAAACAACAATAACACCTGCAACAAAAAAATAGGGGGGCGTTGTGGTGGATGCCTGAAGTCCCAGGTACTTGGAGGCTGAGGCAAGAGAATCGCTTAAACCCAAGAGTTTGAGGTTGCTGTGAGCTGTGACGCCATACCGAGGGTGACATAATAAGACTCTGTCTCCAAGAAAAAAGAAAAAGGTGGCCTGAGGTGAGGCCCACGAAATTTGCATTGCCAAGAAAATTCCTTCATGATACTGATGTGGCTACACCAGGGATCGTACCTTATAAAAGGTTCTAGATCTGTTCCAATATAATCGACATTAGTCACACATGGCTATTTATATTAATTAAAACTCACAAAAATTAGTCAGGGCTCAGCACCTATAGCTCAGTGGCTGGGGCACCAACCATATGCACCAGAGCTGGTGGGTTCGAACCCAGTCTGGGCCTGCCAAACAACAATGACAACTACAACCAAAAAGTGGCCAGACGTTGCGGTGGGAGCCCAAGAATTTGAGGTTGCTGTGAGCTGTGATGCCATGGCATTCTACTGAGGGCAACAAAGTGAGACTCTGTCTTAAAAAAAAAAAAATTAGTCAGGCTTCTGTGTATCTGTAGACTCAGCTTCTCAGGAGACTAAAGCAGGAAGATCACTTGAGTCTAAGAGTTCAAAGCTGCAGGCTGCTCTGATCGTGCCTGGAATGGCCACTGCACTCTAGCCTAGGCAACACAGCGAGATCCTGTCTCAAAAACAAAACAAAAAAAACTTGAGCAAATTAAAAATTTAGTTCCTTAGTTCTATGAGCCACATTTTAAGTTCTCAATATACCTACATGTGGCTGGTGGATACTGTATTTTGCAGATATAAAACACATTCATTTCAGAAAGTTTTGATGAATAGCACTGTTCTAGATAATTGACTCATCATTGTTTGTTTTTCATTTTTATTTTATTTTTTTAAAGAGACAGAGTCTCACTTTGTTGCCCTCAATAGAGTGTCATGATGTCGCAGATCACAGCAACGTCCAGCTCTTGGGCTTAGGCAATACTCTTGCCTCAGACTCCCAAGTAACACCTGGCTATTTTTTTGTTGTAGTTGTTTAGCTGGCCTAAGCTGGGTTAGACCCCACCACCATCAGTATATGTGGCTGGCTCCATAACCACTGTGCTACGGATGCCGAGCCAGAACATTGTTTTTGCTGGAACAATGACCAATAGAAGGATAGAACATTCTTATAAGACACTATACCGTGCAAGTCTCTCCTAGAATACTTCATAGGCCCATGTAAATACCATTTTATTAGCCTTTTAGTAATTTTAGTCTCCAAAAGTCAATTATAACTTTATTCATCCTTTTCAAGGCCCTCACCTAACCACATCGTGAGTCATCAGATTACTTCAAATTTTTATTTTGCTGAGGTCATGAAAGGCTATTGAGCATCCTCACCTCTCAGCCTTCTTCAGAATTCTCCATATTTTAGTCCTTACACTACAGTAATTAACCACAAATACTTTACTACACTAAATTTTTTACTTTACTATAACACTCTTAATTACCATGAATTGTTCTACATGTTTTATGTTCACTAATTCACTTGATCCTCATAACAATCCTATAGAACAGGTATTAGAAAAATATCTTATTAAATTAAGAAATTAAGGCACAGGGAGATCATATGATTCACCTAGAGTCACACAGCTAAAAGTGGAAGAGACAAGCTATGAACCCTGGCAGTTGGGCTCCAGAGGCTGCATTCAGACCACTATACTACTCCACTGACTCACATTCTTGACTTTTCCCTCGAATCCAAGATAATCTCAAACTTGCCCTTCAATGGAGGCTGGGAATAATGTTCAAATGGAGTTAATCATCCTTAGTTCTTAGAGTTTTTCACAAGGAGAATACATTCAAGTATGTTTTATTAAATTTAGAGACAGAATCTAGTACTATGTCA